TATGTATTTTTTTATCTGTTGAAAAACCAGTTGTTTTTGGCCACGTGTACAATCTCACATGCCACTGAAAATTACATCTGGAGTATGACAATTCTAAGTGTGGATAGCTTGCTTCATGTTTGGTGGAGGGATTTGGATACATTCATTGTTCTATCCTTGACAATTCTGGAATTTCTTCTGCAGGGAATCAGGTCTTAATAAAATGTTTTCCTGTTCAGTGAAGTCTTTTGGGGTCCACTCCAAAATGCATATTTATTTAGGAAATTTATATGGTTGCTCATCTTAAGCAAATTAATCTGGGAGCCTTACAGTACAGAATGATAAAAGCAGCATAAATATATGGGCTTCCGGTGGTGTTCTGGTCGATGATGGATCAGAGACCATGATTGTGTGTGGCTTTGATCCATGCTTACCCTGTTGGAGGGGTCCTTAAAGGACCGGATCCATCTGACCCACCTCATAGGGGTGAGGGGAAGAGGGGGAAACCACCAGCTGGGTCGAGGGGAGACGCATCTCCCCTCCCTGGCTTGGCAAACTCCCCTAGAAGAACAGGAAGAAGCGGCAGTCTTTTAATGGCTGCCCTGAAGATAGGAAGCTGCCGGGACACAAGTTTTGTGCTGGAGAGTAAAAGTGGTGAGCGACGTGTAACTGGATAAAAGACTTTGAATATTCTTTTTGATAACCCCAAAAAGTGGAAAGAAAGAGCCCTCATTTGGAAGAGTGGTAGTGGCGAACGAGTAATAAGAGGAAAATATAAGATAAAGAAAAATCCGGAAATAAAAGAATTATATGTGATTAGAGACTAAATTTGGAATAACATACAGAATTGGACATTAATCAGGCATTGGATAAAATGTTGGACTTATTTGGAATTGGTTAAATCTAATATTAATGCTACGGAAAAGTGAATTAAAAATAAAAGAATTCTAAGAAGAAAGTGATATAGAACACCACCTAAGGGTTAAAGATTTCCTTCTTTTATGTTTCTATGGAAAATTACTGGTTGTATATAACGAGATCCCTGGAAGCTTTATAAAAAAAAGAAGAAGAGGGGATTACAGTTAAAACGGAGACTTTTGACAAGGACTATAACAGAAGAATTTGACTTTTAATAAAATAAAGAATAACTTAATAGACCAAAGAAATGGAAGAAATAAGCAAAGAATTTAAGTAGGAGCTCCAAAATGTGAGAGAGATGTTTAAAGAAAGAATGAGATTGGTGGAGTTAATACTGAGTAAAGTAGTGGTGTCACAGCTTGTGGAAGAACAAAGGAAGCCCAGAGAGGACGAATTAAAAGAGGGAAATAACAGCCTTGACAAACATGAAGAACAAGGACCATTATCAAAGGACATAAAAGGACTTAAAACAGAGACATCGACATTAGAGACAATAAATAAAAGAGATAAGACACTCAAGACTAAGAAGAAGAAGAGAATACACAAGAAGAAACCCCAAAAAAGAGAGCTGAAAAGGGGGGGGGGAAACATAGCTGACAGGCAGAGGGAAATAAAAATAAAATTAGAAGGAAAAAAGAAGAAAGATTGGGGAAACTTAGAAAAGGGAAACCTAGCCAAAATTAAAAGGAATGATAACATTTCAAGATTTAGAGATAAGGGTTCGGGGTTGTATAAGGGAATGTATATTGGCATTTAGTTTAAAACTTGTTGGAAATTATTTTAGGGTTAGGGTTGGGTTGTATATGAATTATGCTGTTATGAACTCTTACATTGGAGGATTAAAACGGGAATGGAAATGTATTAAAACATAGATAAATTTTAGCGATTTTAGGGGGAGATATCTCAAAATATATATGTTTTAAAATATACAGTTGATTATTTAATGTGAATAAGTTTAAAGCTGGGGAATGAATTATTAAATTAGATAGATTGAGGGGATATACCATGTGGATCCTAAATATATTGGTTTTTATTTTTATTTTTACATTGTTTATAATTGGCTTAGGGAAAATTAAGGATAATAATGATGTGTAATATTAAATAAAATAGGTGGTAAGCTGAAAACTGAAATAATAGGGGATAAAGAAATGGGAATCTATATATGGATGAAATGATATTGATATTGAATTAATGTATTGAAATATGAAATGGAAATTTATTTAAAGATGGGTGAAATGGATAATGATATGAGATGACATCATATAAGATTGGTGGAAATGAAAGTATGCTTATGTTCAAGTGTTATAATCTGGAACGTTTCCCACACAGAGATGTGTAAAAATGAAAAAATTAAAAACTTTTTGGAAAAAAAAGCAGCATAAATATCTAACAAAAACATAATAATATACAAATAGAACACAGTATACAAATATAAACATATTAAATGCACAGTATAAAAGCTGAGGCAGTTTACACATTACCCTCAGTCGCAGATTACCTATATTGGGCTTCAGTAGCAATTCAGCTTGAATGCCTGTGGAAAATGTCAGGTTTTACAGACCAGCAGTTGAAGGTCATCTAGATCTTCAGGGGAGGCTATTACACAGGATAAGTGCCACAGGAGATTGTTGAAGGACTTCAGAGGGAAACTGGTACAGTCCATAATATGAACGATGGGTGTCAGATCTCCCATTTAAATATCAGCTGAGTGATAAACCCATCAGATGTCCTTGAGCAGCCTCAACCCTCTGTTTTCTTCTTACGTTACATTCACTGGTCTACAAATTTTGGGAAATTATAGACCTCCAAGATAAAATGTGTTAATTTTACATATTTTGATTAGATGAATTCAGTGGTGGGATTCAAAAAAATATACTACTGGTTCTGTGGGCGTGTCTTGGTGGGCATGGTATGGCTTGGTGGGCATGGTAGGGGAAGGATATCGTAAAATCCCCATTCCCTCCCCACCCCACTAACCTGATTTCCAGCTCCGTTTTCCTGTATTTGCCAGTTCTATGAACTACTTAAAATTTCCGCTTCCAGTTCTCCAGAACTGGTCAGAACCTGCTGAATACCACCTCTGGATGAATTCTAATTTCAAAAATCTAAAGTTTTCAAGATATTTCACAATAAAGATTTATACACAGGTGAGTATATTTGCCCTAAAGAGAGGGTGGTTTCTAATAATTACAATATCTCGTAACTTCTCGACAAAGTATGGTAGAACAATGAAAATGGTACTACATAGAAATGTGTAAATTTATCTTCACTTTGAGAACAGCAAGGCAGATGACTATGAAAAACAGGTGGCAAACTTGCTTAGGTCCTATAAAGTACTTAGTGCAAAGAGGTTGCTGAACCTTCACATCTTACACTCGCATTTAGATTATTTCCCTTTAAACTGTGGGGCAGTGAGTGATGAGCCTGGGGAGAGATTCCACCAGGATATCGCAGGCATGGAGAAAAGATACCAAAGGAAATGGAGTCCGTCAATGCTTGCCGATTACTGATGGAATCTTCCCAGGGATGGTACTGCAGTTCACAAGAGAAAAGCCAAAAAGCATAGTTTTAGATACCGAATAAAGATTGAACCTTGTCATTTAATCTGATGTTAGAGCTTGTCAATTTTTCATGCAAAAAGCATGAAAATATTACATGAAAAACCAATAAATGAATGGAAAATTGTTATTGGTATCAATAAAAAGATAAATTTATAATGATCGGTGAGTTATCATTCTCATTGCTATATCACATTTTGCAGAAAAGTTAGGAGCATGTCCCCCTCGTAATTTTGAATTATTTTGATGCAATTTTGACCTTGGAAACTGCAGCCAATTAATACTCAGGACTTAATTTTCTTTGTTAATGACCAAATTCTGGTAAAATTAAGCTACTGGTACTTTCATTTCTGAGGCTTTCTCCTTGTAGACCAGTGTTCTCTATGGTACACAGCTTTGGAAAGGAGCAAACATAGGTGAAGTGCCTTACTTCTTGAAATAAACAATTCAGTATAATATAATAGCCTGCCTATTGACCTCTTTGCTTTCATTTGGATTAGAGAAGAAAATAGCCCTAAACTGCTAAAATAAGTTTGCTGTTTGGCTGACTGCATTTCTTTGAAAAGGCAACTGCTCCCTTGAAAAAATCTATGTAATCCTCTCCTTTTTCAAAGCAATTTGTTTTCCAGCTTCCATGCTACTTTGAAATGCTATCCTTTATTATATTTTTATTATTATTTTAGATTAGTGGTTCTGTAGCATTACTAAGACACTAAAATATTTCCATTACTCTAACTGGTGAGGTAGAATTACACATTTTCCTCTTTGGCTTTGAAATAACCTGAATAATTTAACAAATTGCAGACTTTGACTTATTTGCTATTTATCGGACAATTACAGTTCTGAATCAATAATCATCAGAAACTTTTGAACCTCTGTGAGTGCTTTTCAGACTGGAGGATAATAAAGAATCCTGAGCTAAATATCTGTATTTTTCTAGAGAGCAAAAAGTTAAAGCACTTTAATAAACTAGTTCAATCCCAGGACAGCACTTCATTCTTCTTAACAAATACTGATTTCCTTATTCATGTTTCTTTACTAAATACACAGTGGATGAAGCTGCTGTTCATAAATCAAGCCAACTGGTTGACTGATCATTCTAATATTTATTTGCCTTTATTTCTTTAATTGTTCTTTTAATACAGTAACACAACCTGTTGCAACCGGTGTACATAGCATCATCCAGTTCCTTTTGTGATTTTAAAGTAGACATTCTAGTCTTTGTTCTGCAGCTAATACCTTCGTCTTTGATTTTGTTGACATAAAACTCTATAACTGAAAGTCTGTTTTACAAACACTGTTTACATCTAAAACCTGCAGCTTTCTCAACTTCCTGATGTCCAATCCTTTGTGCCGGCTCCTGTGGTTTTATCTTCATATTTAAAAGGGAATAATATTATCTTTTTTATAATATTGTGTTTCCCCTCTTCTTACCTTTCTTTTTTTTTTTCCACATTTCTTTTTAAACTAATCTACTTGCACCATGCTAATGGGCCTTTATTGCTTTATTATGGCTCCTCCCACTGAATGATTGTGTCCAATCAGTTGGCAGGCAGAGCTCCGCCCCTGCTTCGGCCACCATGAGTGCTGCCGGCCTGGCTGAGCAAGGTATGTGGCATGAGTCGTATCTCCTGAGTGCCTGATCTTAGACCCACACACTTGCCCTCCCTTGATCAGTTCCACTGCCAGTAAAAACCAGCATGATAGTGTTTGTGCACTTAGTGAGACACACCATCCATGCTTGCTGGCTGAGAAAAGGGCATGCACTAAGGTATCCATCTAACCAAGTATCATAAGTACATTGAGTTTGAACCTACTAACAAAATGCATGTTGGGTAGTTAACCCTGTTTTGCTGTGAATTGACGGAAGACATATGGAGACAGGGATTGTCATAGTGTCAGTACATTTTTAAATAGTTTCAGAAAGTTGCTATGGCTCCTACAACCACGAATGTCTTAGGAGGATATCAATCTGTTAGCAGATTCTGAATTTTGTTTTTTAATAACATCTACCATTTTATAGGAGGATAGCATAAGATTAGCCTGCTATTTTCTTATACGGATTGGTGATAAGCAGCGACACACAGTAGGATTCAATATTATGCATCATGTTTGTAATTATATTTGACTGCAGGTTAAAATTTGAGGGATAAAAGATAAAAAGCAGTGGGATAAGGTTTCTTGTACTGGCAAAGACACTTAACTTTTATTCAATAAAGAACATTGGTCTTGTACTTCCAAAATTATTATCATTTAAGAATGGAAAATATCTGTTAAGTCCTCTGTTAAATCTCCCCCCCGCCCACCCCCACAAAAGGCAGGAAAAGATAGTGTGCTGGTAGAAGCATTAATCCCAAATTCGGAAAAAGCTTCAAGGGCCAGATAATTTCCTATTGCTAATTGTTCTTCAGCTAAACAAAAGTGTTCAGGGACAAATAAATATGTCAATAGCCTGAATGTTGCTTGAATGGGAAGCATACTATGTGGGGTGCTCAGTTGACAAATTTCAGAGTATTTTCTAATGACTTTAGAGCCAGAGCTGAGCCAACCTCCCTAGGATTTCTTTATGGACCTACAGGTGTGTTCCTAGAACTATTGAATGCACACAAGATTTCCCATGATCCCCTTGCTTATCACATGAGGCCCCTTAGAATAGAAGGTGGAATAAGGAGCCTCTCATCGCAGTTTATCTTCTTCCTACTTATTAATTTAATCTCTATGCTTCTACCTGGGTGCACCTACATGTGTGACATTTCATGCAAAATGTATGAATTCATGCAATATATTTGAATATATATTGCAGATTTTGGATGTGTTGTGATTTAATTTCCCTGTTGCAGACTGTAGGAGTAGGGTTTTGGTTTAGTAAATAGTGCATGTCCAGAATCTGCAGGAACAAAACCAGCCTTGGTGTTCATCAAAAGCAGTTACTAGGTTTGCTGATAGGTTCTCAAAGTTAGTGTTGCAATCTTCAAAATTAAACTAGTTGAAGAAAGAGCTTTATCTTATCAGATATACACCAATTATATAAATCATTCTTTAAAAGCCACATTAGTTCAAAATGCAATCACTATTGCATTATAATGAGTCTCTGTATAAATGAAAAGTGCATTTTATCCAACCAAATTAGGTGTGTGAGCAGGCATCTACAATTTATATGTGGCTAGAGGCAACCTTCCTTTTTTATGAGAAATGGGATTTTTTAAATGGAATGGAATATATAGAGTGGTGTGAGGAGAAATTCTCTTCTTCTCCACACTGAGCAAGCACCTTTTCCCCCCAGCCTAATTAACTTTTGATATGAAAACTAGACTAGGAGAAATTTGCTTGCAGCCAAAGTGGGCATCTCTTCAATTTGTGCCATATTTGAAATCTGTGATTAGATACATGAGGAGAGCCCATAATATAATACTCAGTGGAGGAAATGGGAACACTTATTTTCAGGCTACTAGCTTTTCTTGCAAGGAATTTTCCTTGAAAAGTAGCAGGACCAGTGTTGCCTGCCTTTGATGTAAAGACACTGGACTAATTGGTAATTTCTCATAAATAAACAGGAATTATGGTGAGGTTTAAAGGCCCTCTAAGGACTACTTATGATATATTTAAATGCCGATGAAGGGATGACCCCACTTGCTTCAAACAACTTTCTCCAGGACTAGTTTTTAGAATCTACAATTCGGGAGGTAACGCTACAGACACGTATTTGTAATCAATTATTTAAATAGTTTAGACTAATAATAGGAAGAAATGTGTGTAAAAGCACTTCAGTAATATATACTATTGGGACCAGATAAATTATTCCTAGTTAATGTTGATCTATAATTTTAGGAAAGGACTTCAACTACAGAATAGAACATTTTTTGTTGTCTTTAGAAGGAAGGCAGGAATAGTTTGTAAGTCTAACATAGTCAGAATCTGTCCTTCGAAGGCAAATTGACATTTAAGTTTTAGCTAGGCTTAACAATCATAATGCTTCCAAATTCATTATGGCCACTGACTTTTTAAAGATATATAAATAGCCCTCACAATCAGTCATTTTACAACCATTTGAAGTTGTGATGGCCACAGAAAGCACTGGTGACTATCTTACATCATCTCCCCACTGCAGTCACATGACTGCATATAAGCTTTATGACCATTACAGTATTCCATGGTCACATGATTTCAATTCGCTGGGTTTTTTGCTGATTTTTGGCAAAAAAAAAGGCCATTCAATTATATGGATTCATACTGTTTGATTATTGAACACCGCATTTCACAACAACTGTCACATTCACTTAATGACCACTACAAAAAAAGGTCAGAAAATTATTTCAGTTCATGTGGGTGCTTCGACTTATGACCATAACAATTTACAACTCGATTTCCAGTCCCAATTACTATTGTAAATCAAGAACTATTTGTAATACCTTCACAATCGCAAGCTCATTTCCATTTAGAAATTTCAGTGCAGATTATGTGTCATTTAGGCCAATACTAAAAACAGAAAATTAAAATCAAGATGGAATAATAACTAAGGAAAAGTCAGATTCAAGCAATCAAAAAGTCAGATTGAAGCATTTGAGTTTCATTGTTTTCACCCTACCCTACCCTGGCCTACCGTGTAAGGATGCTGTTAAAACTGGGGAAACCCCCATGGGTGCCATCTTTAGATCTAAAACAGAGTATTCCCCTAGGCCACACATAATTTCTGCAAGGCTAAATGCAGCTTTCCTTTGCGTGTTGTGTGATCCATTATCTTTGCTATTCAAAGACTGTATTACAACCCGGTTCAAAAATGGTTGGATTCCCCTGTCCTATATCAAAGGCAGGATATAATTGCCCAATAAATATTGTGAGTATGCGTTTTAATATTTAATTTCCAGAGGCTTCTCAAAACATGCATGTTTACAGCTGTAAGTTAGAATTGGGTGGTGGTATGTCCCCAGAATCTGCAGAGTATACAGATATAGAATGTTACATTCTCTGGAAAACCTCTTTGCAACTCATCTGTTGTCTTGTGCTGAGAAAAGCCTTCTCTGTGTGTTTTGTCTTCTAAGTAATCCCAGGGAATTTTGTGTTCTTGTGCTTAATTGTAGGCATCCATGTTTCTTCTTTTGGATAACAGTGTGTTATCTAAAAGTCCAAGCTTCATGCAAAATGTATCTTTGCTCTTTTTTTTGGGGGGGGGGACTGTTTTGCAGATTAATATCTATCAGCCTTTCCCAGCCTGCTGTGTATGCGAATGTTGAGGAGGAATTAAATTATAAAGTGTGTGGCAAAGAGCTGCAGATGATTTATGAGATCAGAATATGGGTGAATTTCAAGACCTCCTGTGCTCTCATTAGCCAGCTCCTTGGGGATTTCCTTCTATTATATCAACTCTTTACATTGACCAGAGCTGAATGAATAACTTCCACTAATTCTCTTCTCAATGTCTGCACTCTATATTATAAATGCAGACTTCCCATTCCCATAATATCTATGTTAGATTTTCAGTTACCTTAACGTAGATTTGACCACATAATTTATTCCTGACCTCCCTCCAAATGCTTGTAGCTTGCTTAATCTTTATTTATTACCATTTTTAGAAAAAAAAAAACAATGGTAATCCTGGGGTAGAATCAGAGGATCTATTCTAGAGCAATGCTAATAGCTTAATTTTTGACAGGCCAGAGGGAAACTGCCTGACAGGAATAAGAACACCTTGACCTTATTCCTTTGGCAGAAAAGGGCCAACATTGGGCTTCTATGAAACCAGCTCTGAATTTTATGTCACTATTCAGAAGGCCTATTCTCCCACTGTAATTACATCAACTGCAATAAAGAACATTGCATTTCTTGGTGTTCTTGCTTTACAGTATACAAAATCTATATCCAGGTAGGATTGGTTTTCAGGGGCCACTCTGTTGTCTCAATTACACTCTGGCATCATGTCTGATGGAGGCAAAACTAAGGCAAAGTCTCAAAGCTTCAGAGAGGGATTACTTTTCATCCTTTCTCATATTTTCTTTTTTTTAGTATGATTAACTGCATGAGGTAGTTTTCATTTCCATATGATAACCATATTAAAGTTGGAATAAGGACGTCTCTTTTTCTGCCAAAAATGTTGCTGAATCTTCCGGAATCAGCTTTCTGTAGATAACTTTGATATTTTCCTTATGCTGCAAATAAAACTACAGTATAGGAATTCGAGATCTGGAATGGATTAGGGTTTAATTACACAAGCTTAAACATAAATTGGTTTCCTGCTGGATGAGTGCAACAGCGCCTTTTTATTACATCTTGCCTTAATTTCTCAGAGCTCTTATCTGCTACCCTGAATTTTATCCCATGGTATGGAAACATACATGAACCAGCATGCCTTCTTCACATGTGAAATATTTTTGTACAACAGAGTTATGTAAAAGAGGAGGAATATCCATTTCTCCCCTTTAGATTCTTGCACTTACATGTTTTTTTTAAAATTTGCCTCATTAAAAAAAGAAAAAACGATTAAAAGCAGTTAAGACTTGGTTGTTCTATCAAGCACAGGGGAAGGGCATATTGTGAGTCACGTTGGATCCTGGCAGGCACATGAGTTTGTATAGTTGATATTGTCAATTTTGTTCATATTATGAATAGATTTTCTTATTATTTTTGAAGGAGGTGCCTTTTAAATTGATCTTGGTAATTAGCTGCACAGGGCCTTTGGAAATGGATAGTGTATAAATGAATAAAACATAATTTTAATGTTGTTTGCATTTAAATGACTCACAAGACAGGAATATGTTATCTAACAACATTCCAGATTAGGCCTTAGATTCCATATTTAGTGAATAGGAAACTGTACATATTCTGTACATATTTTTCTCATTAGTATCATAATCTGTCTGGTCTTGGGTTTTAAAAATTTATAAGGCTACAAAATAAATGTGAATCTTGTACTTCGTATTAAATATATATGGTACTTAATTTTTTTTTAATGTACCTTTTTATTATGCCTCAATCGGCTGCTAGCTTGTTTAAGGCCAAACATATGCTGCATTGGCCCAGCAGACCAAATAATGTATAGAGGAATATTCTAGAGCCATAAGGACCCTTGGATGTCGTTAGGCTTTTATGCTGCCTTTATGTTCTAAAAAAGGTGTTGGGATAGAGCTCACAACCCCAAACGTTGGCTGTCATTTCAGGGAACAAACGCCATGAAACAAAGCCCAAGTTTCATTTCAGGATGTTTTGAAGTTTGGAACATCTTTCCTGGAAATTAGAATACTAAAACTCTTGGTCTTTTAAGCACCCGGATTAGTGTTTTTATTTTTAAAAACATAAAGCATGTTCTTTAGGTGACAAAACCTCATAATTTTTGTAAGGGTAGTGTAGATATCACTATTCAAAATATGCTGTTCCTGATTAAATTGATACATCATTGCGTGGATGTGAACAGTTTTCAAAGGACATGAACTGTTAACTAATTTGTACTGTCCAGACCCTAAAAATCCTCTTCCAACTACAGTATATGATTTCTGTAGTATAAACTACAAGATCTAGGTTTCTTGTGTGCAAATGTTTCTGTGTTGAGTGTGTTGATCAAAGACCTGCAACACAAAATTTATTTTGAAAACTATATATGAAAATTGTAATTGGCATGGATAGGCCTCAGTGATGTCAAGCTCTTTGTGTGTCCTTCTGTTATACATTCATGTTCTGGTTTTATGTGTATTCTGTCTTTGCCTTTGCAAGCTAGTTAAATGAAAAACAAAGTAACTTGCTCTTCTCCAAATGAAACATGTAAACTTCATCTGATAAGTGATCTCTTTTGAATTCTCCCTCTTAACAACTGCCGATCTGACCTCTGCCCAGATTAGCAGCAATCAAGTTTTCCCTAATGTTATCCTATATTGGATTTTAGTGGACAGTTGTATTTTTCATTGTACTAAAGTACCCAGACTTAATTTTTACTTTTTCTATTCTGCATTTTGTAGGTAAGGGATGAGCCACTTCACATGCCATATTTCTTCAAAGAATATCATATCTGCCTATCGTCATGTCTATGTGCAGGAGGAAATCAAAAGATCTTAATAGTCACTGCACGTAACAATGGCAACTTGGCATTAAAATGTTAAAAAAAAAGCTTTTTTGTGACTTTCTAGAATAAAATTTGTCATATAAAACACTGATTCAAGGGATAATTCTCCTGCATGTCAATTTAAGAGTTGGTTTTTAATTGCTTCTTTGCTGATAGCTTTGGCTACTGAAAGGGACAGAGGTAGTAAATAACGAAAGCAAAGATATGAACATCTCAAAAGCTCTGATGATTTGTGTTTTGTCCAGTTGCTTTAAAAAAATATGATTGTGGTGTAAGGTTTGGATGTTGGCAAGGCTATTGTTCATGCAAATTTTATTGTTTTGAGCAAATAAGAGCCTAAAATGAATCTAGCTTGGTTTTTTATGTTGACCTGCTTTAAGGAAAAGAGAAATAATGTTAAAATGTGGTTCACATGCTTTTCTCAATTCTATTTGCAGCTGCCAAGAGCTTACTGAACAAAAAGTCAGATGGAGTAAAGGTAGGTTTTGAAATCGGGAGCATCCCTTTCTTTTCCAGTTCCTTGCATAGAAATCTGCATCCTTGGCCAGCCTAAGTGATTCATATGTCAGATAATGGCTATGCACAGCTTCTGCTAAGATGATCTCTGCAACTTGACCATGTGAGTGCAGCAATTAAATTGATAGCTGAGCAAGCCATTAATGCTCAAGACTTAATACAGGATTTTCTTCCAACTATTTCAGCAAGTACAACTACTGTAATATTGAGCTATGGAACAAAGGAAAATTCTCTGGAAAATTCTTAGACCCACAATTCCTATATTATGTTATCAGAAATATTTTATACCTAGTGAATTTGCAGGGTATGATTTAAATATCTGGAAGTGCTTATTACCTCTTTAAATAAATATACAATTATTTGCATGCTACAGATGCCCTGCACTTCTGTGTGGAAATAAAATGAGAGCAAGAGATCTATAACGTTGGATTAATAAAGCAATGTACATTAATGGATTTCACAGCTGTTTTACCAAAGATCTCTTGATTATTATTTCTGTTTCCTTTTCCAGTGGGTATTTGTCTGTTAGAAAATTATGTTTACCATATTACCTATATTTATTGGAATAATTAATTTCTTATTTTATATATGAGTTTCATATTCCTGAAAACTACTTTCAAATCAAATTATATTATTTGATAATATTGTTGGTTCTTTTATGTTTGGGGAAACTAATGGTCCTCAAGCAAGGAAATAAAGTATAGTCCTGATTCTTGCATCTTATCTACTATTCTGTGAATATTACATCTTCTGTGAACTATAAATTATTTAAAAATGGGAATTGCACATCATTGAATTAACATTATTTCCCACTCACAGAAATAGAAACTAGCAGCTCCCCATTAAAATCCATTGCTGCATTTATTTATTTTGCTATGTTCTGTTAAAGACCCTTAAAACATTTGCCTACTTTCCATTCCACATATCACTGGATGCACAGAGAGAATTAAACCATGCAAGCTGTGCTCACATGTCGGTGGTTCTCCAATTTTCCTGTCCCCCGCCTCATATATACATAGTGTAAACTAATACAGCTAAGCAATATATTTAATATGATGCATTTAATCATAATAAGTAGCTGACCAGGCTTCACTATTGCATGAAAGAGGTCTCTGTACAGAATACAAGGACTCCTTTAACATTAAACATGGGTGAAGTTAAAAGGCTGTTCCTGTTCCTCTCGTCTGTTCAGTAGAACATTAGAATATTAGCACTTTTACTGCTTTATTGTTGTTTTTCCAATTTCCCACTAATCATAAATATTTCTTTAGGCATTAAATATGAACCACACTATGATTCTTTGTTAATTGTTTCAGCAAAAAAAATGATGCTCCTGATATTCTACATGTAATAATTTTGCTGCTGGGGGAAGAAGAATGTCTCTATTGTTCTCGAAACTCCTAAATTAACAAAGTAGATTACTCTAAACACTTCCCTATTGACTGTCCTCACTTAAGAAGTTGTGGGGGTTTGTTTCCATTTCATTGTTTGTCTGATTCTCTTTGGATGTCTTTCAGAACTGGATCAGAGAGAATATGCTTAAAGAAGGGTGAGCTGTAGGTCAGTGGAAAAAAATAACTAAGAGAGAATTTATAGGTGTAATCCTTGATTTCACCTCAGTGACAAATGTCTGTAGAGATTCTCAATCGTCCAGGTCATCAGTGTTTCAAAGGTGCTTTTCAAAACGTTTGTAAATGTTTCACTTTTCGTTTGCCTTTTGAAAAGCACCTTTGGGACCTCAGTGACAAAATGAACTTAGCCTTTTCTTCTCCACGTGGAGAACTCAAAATGTTCCTCCTGGTCCAATTCACAGCCCATTTATGTAAGCAAGATAGAAGAGGATTTTTCTTTTCTTTTCTTCTCTCTGCTTTGCTTTCCCTAAAGTCTTCATTTTTAAAAAGAAAGAAAATGGGCCTCGAGCTCCTTGTCAGAATATTCCGGCAACCATGATGTGCAATTAATATTTCTGAGCTAAACTCATCTTAATAAGTTCAACTAAGGGAAATGTTATTACTTGTTCTGACTAGTTTCAAACCTCAAAACATATTTGGTTCTAAAGTTAATCAAAGGGATGAGTTTGCCTAGAACTCCTGGCTAATGATGATACAGACATTATGTAGTGATTGAACTCCAACTCTAAATGTCTGTCTTCCATATTGTCCTGAACCCCAATCATTTCAATGGAGTCTGTTAGTTTGACTATAATCTTACAGTAAGATACAAATAAACCACCTGCAAGATTTTTATACCTTTTTAGTGCAAATTGCCAGATTTCTTTATTCATTGCTACTTGCTGACAGATAACTGTGATTGCATAGAATCATTTAAGCCAGCTGGAGATAAGTGGAATAACTGTTCTTTATCTATAACCTTTTGTAGTTTAAATCCAGATTTTGTGGTTAATTAGTCATTTCTTAAAAGCCCTTTGTGACTTGGGCTTGTCTAAGACACGGTGTTTCTCCAATATTTTTGCTCATTTGACCTGGACCACCAGTTCCACTTCCATTGTGAGATTTAATTGAAAAGGGAACCCTGCTGTTGGGAGAACTAACTACCTTTGGAACAAGTTGCCCCCTGAGGCAGTTGTGGCTCTCCCTCTCATGGCTTGCAAAACGTTATTGAAGACCTCTGGGAATTGATCACTACAAAATTCCCAATACCTCAAATCATGTATTATTGATGTCCATTTTATTACAAAATATATTATTTGATTGTATTATTCTATTAACCTTGTTTTCTTTATTTGATAAATTGATGAAATAGCCCATCTCGTGTACATTATTGTTCTGACTCAAACCTTGTTCCAAGGAAACAAACATGAAACAGAGGTAACAGCAAAAACTTTTAATGATTCTTTACGAATTCCATTCCTCCACGGTTAAAAGGCTGTTTCAAATTAATTATCTCTGATAAGAACGAGCCTTGCCAAGGTGGTGCAAGGCTGCCAAGAATACTAGATAAAGTTACTAAGAAATATTTCAAACACAAAGAGTCTCCAAACACCAACCAAGATATTCTGAACGTCCACAAGGTTTGAGTGCAAAAACTCCAGTTTCTCAGCTGGCTTTTATCTCTTGAGGGAGGGGCCATTACCTTGCAGCCTTATTCCCGAATCGCCCATGCTGCTGCAGCTGCTCTTTCCTTCGAGCAGCCCTGCACGCATGTGCACTGGTCACAGGCTCCTCAGGAACCTCTTCATCACTGCTGCCAGCCTCCACAATCTCTGAAGGCAGCATTCCACTCCCTGATGGTCCTGGCCCCATCCCTGCCTCACACGCAGGCCCATCATCTGAGTCCTCGCTCTCCAAGACCTCAGCCATCTGCACCTGCAGCCGTCAAACCACAATAACTGACCATTAAAACAGAATAAAAACCAAGCAATAATTATAAACCTATTTTATATTCTAGGAGATTGAGGTATGCCCTCCCTAATAGTAATTTAGTGGGAGAGCACTTATATGAGGTTCAGATGGAATCAAATGTAAAGGGAACACACCCACCTTTGATAAAAAGAGAGAATAAAAAATAGGGACTTATTACTCCTTGTACCTTTTAGATTTTCCAAGCTTACATAAAATATACCTTCCAGCTTTTCCCCAGGATGGGCTCTATTTGCTACAGGACAAAAGTAAAAAAAACCCCAACAACAGTACTTTAAATTCCAATTCAGTCAGAAAAATCCTTTTATTCTTTCTTTTGCAGCAAGTGCAGATTTCTCATCATTTCTTCTTGAAATTTAGTTCACAGATTGTGATGCTTGATGTAGGCAATGGTGTGTGCTGCTCAGAGCTCTTGAAAAAAAAGATCTAATTCTAATGTTGTATGTTCTCAAGAGAAAATACGGCAAGTGAAATAGGACAAACTTAAGTGCCTGATTGCTAACAGGAGTCTTGCTTTGTTTACCCAAAAGCACTTAAAGTTTATGCATTATATTTGTAATATTTCTGATAAACTTCAGATTGAAATTCCAGTAAAATAACTTTATAATCCCAAGGCTGTCTAAGCTTTTGGCACATAAGAGCCATACTGCATGCCTTCCAGTAATGAAAAAAGCACATTTATCTTGTACTCAAAGCAAATCTAAATGTGGTCTCAAATCTTTGCAAAAATGAAAAAGCTGCTTGGAAGCTTCAAAATATTATGCATATAATCAACATGGAATAAAAACACTGAAGATGTCATGATACCAAAGGCAAAATGTCAGCAAAAAGAAGTTACAATTATCTAGAAGTACAATTGTTAATGTATGTGGGAGATTTAAAATATCTTCATGTAGCTCTGAAAAAATTGCAACATAGCGGGAGAACATACTCAAATAAGAATGATCATTGTCATGGTTTTTGTCTCTAGGGTTCTGTCTGTAGGTAGGTTTCTCCTACTTTGCTCTAGAACAGCAGTCGCCAACTGGTGGGCCGCGGCCTACTGGTGGGCTGTGAGAAAATTTTGGTGGGCCGCAGAGAAATCTCAGCCGCAGAGCACTCCCCCAAAGCAATTAATCCAGGCTGCGCAGAAACACAAGGCTGCGCCGCCCACATGGCCCGCGGGAACCCTCCCCGCCCACTCACTCCTTACCCAGCAAACTTGCCTGCTAAGTTGCTATTTTTCTTTTTTCCGACCATCATCTGTTCTGCTCTGCTGGGAGGTTTAGATTAGCTAGGAAGCAGGAAATGGTTGGCTTTCTTGCTTTCTAGCTAGTCTTTAGATCTTCGGCTCTGCTTTTAAGCACAGCCGAACCTCCCTTAGGACTGAAGGTTCTATTATTCAGTGCAGACTCAAGGCAAGCAAATTTGAGAGACTGAGCTAGCCGATGACAGATCGATAGATCACTGAATGATTCTGTGAGCAACTCAAACTGCCTGCCTGCTTTGCCTGATTTGGGGTAAAAGTTGCTCATTTTTTTATAAAAAAAATCAATATTTACATACATGGTGTGTTGTGAGTTAATTTTGTGAGTTTTCTTGC